AGATCACAATGATGCACTAGGTGCAGACCTTCCACGCACAGTGTTAAGTGAAGAAAAAGAAAACACAATTCCCAGCCATTGCACAACGTCCATCAAAAAGCAGTGTGGCAAAATGGGCGCTTGTTATGGGGATACAAAAATTTCGGCTTGCACTAGTTTACCTTTGTACAGCCAAGCATGGTGACCAACCCGGTGTCATGAACGAGTGTCGCATCTCTGGGTTGCAATGCCCTTCAACCAACCTAATAACCAGACCTCGTGCAAATTACTTGGTGGTTCAATACAGCTAGCTCGAGTGAACTTTATTGGGCACATTCCAGGAGAAGGTGAAGTAAAATTTAGACGCAACCATGTTTTTATCTTTTGTACTTTATTAGTTTTGGAAGCATCTTTTTTTTTTGCTTACCTTTTCTCTGCTATGCCAATGCCAGAAGATAAACGTTAAACTGCAGTGAAAGTGACTAGTCCAAAGCTTTGTTATTGAAAAGGCCTCGCATTCCATGAACCTCTGGTGCATGAAGCTGTTTGTGCATATATACCAATGCAGCTGTTCCAACCTGCTGCAAATGATTGGTTATGGTGGGAAAAAAATGCACACTTATCAAGACGTCAAAGAGCTTTTATCCCATGTGATCCTACTAGGATAAATTTTGCTGCTTTTAAAACTTCCCTGATAATGAGGAGCTCATTCTGTAAATGGCATTATTTTTGGTGCTTATGCTAATCCTCAACTTCTTAAAGAACTCAGGATGCACTTGAAGACTTTTTGCAAAGCACTAAGAACGACTTTAGAGCCAACATTGGCACTGTAAGCAACAGTTGTCCAATTAACTAGGAAGTTGCACTTGCCTTAGTCACATATCTGGAGATAGTGAATCCTCAATTTCTCTGTCACCCAGAGTCATTGTGCTAAACCTTAAAATACTAATTTTGTCAGCTCATGTAATGCCTTTCTTGCTTGCATAGTTAAGGAGAAAAAATACATAAAAAGAGTAGATTTGGTTTCACCACAAGATACAAAAACTTATCCCATACTAAAAATGGGCAAAGGTAATTAAGTGTGCTTGTTTGGAAACATGTGGTACAAAACAGGAGGCAGCTGATTATGCATTTACTGGGTTTTAGAGAGTGACATCGCAACATTTGTTAGCTATCTCTTGCATGGTCTGTGGTTGTACACAGCCCACTCAAGAGAAGTAGGCAATCAGTTTGCAGTTTCATCTTTTAATGCTTTTGACTGCTTATTTGTCTTTTATTTTGTTCTGAAGCTTAAAATCTGGTATTGAAAGTGACAATGTAATAGTTACATTAAAAATAATGAGGCAGCAAAATGGGGTTGAGAGGGAAGGTGAATCGAAAGAAGAGGGTTATATATACAAGGCGCATAATGGTTGTCGGTGGTGCACAGACGAGCATGCAGGCGAGGTGATAATGATGGCTTGAGGTGTCTCCTAAAATGTGAAGCCGCGTAGAGAAGTGTCGCACTTTTCTCCTCTGCAATCCTTGGCACGCTTACGGACCTTGTACCAGCACGCACCTATCGCTGGTGATCGGGTCTGACGTGCTTATGCACAATTCTCATGGCAGAGTCCTTTCTGTGTCTGTACATGTGGTGGGATGGAAAAAGCGATGCCAACTCTTCTTTTTGTATTCTGGCATTGGAAGCTGCATAAAAACACAGAGCCCAACATTGTTTGTCCCGGCAGCCCATGAGAGTCCATAAAATAAAAACACACCAACAAAAACAGGCACAGAACTTATCTACAGATACAATACCTCCAGGGGAGTATCAAAAAAATGGAGAAGGCCCAATGGTTGCAAAACACATGTAGAGACAGAAAGAGAAAAAACAAAAACAAATACTCTTCCTTGTGGTGATATAGTCTGTTTTGCTGGAGAGGGAGAGAATGTATATGACAGTACTAAATCACTGTACTGCTGTGATAGGCAAACAATTATCATCACACATTCAGTGTGTTAGATGCTACACAGCCAATGTCACCGAGGCGTATTTGAGAAGAGATGAAAAATGCCGATCTAGCATGGCCACAGGTGAAGCTGAAGGTCTGGTGGATGCTAAGAGAGACTGTACAACGTGTGCGTGTTCTGCCTTCCCGAGTTGTGTGCTCCCAATATGAAGAGTGCTGCGGTACAGGGCACAATGGTGGCCAGAGTGACTGGCAAAGCAGACAGAGATTTTCCTGCAAACATGCACAGCCTTCCTTTGGAGCTTGGGACACCAGACATCGGAGTCCTAGGCGCTTATGAGTTTAGTGCTCCCACTGGTTCCTGCGGCCCCTCCAGCCACTGGGGGGACCTCCGCGCTGCCGGTACTCGCCACTACGCCCGCCACCGCTCCAGCCGGCCTGCGGTGGGCCCTTCCAGTACGGGTCACCAGCAGTACTCCACTGAGGGGGAGGCGGATAGCCCGGTGGAACGATGCCTGGGGGTGCTCCGTAAGCAGAGGGGTCTAGGGGTGGTGGCGGGCCGTACATGCCAGGAGTTGGCGGCACCAGGTTTGCTGGCGGTGCCATACTGGCAGACGGGTGTGGTGGGGGCATGCTGGTTGGTGGCATACCGGCAGGTGGCAATCCTGCCGGGGGCAGGCTTGCGGGCGGAGGAGCACCGTAAACGGGAGGCGGAGGAGGGGCAGCCGGTGCTGCGATGGGCTGTTGCAGTTGAGGCTGCTGCACGACAACATTGGGCGGGGGTGGCACTTCCATCTCCTCAAGCTGCTTGCGTGCCATCTCCATCAGTTCGCTAGCAGACTTGGCACCGAGTTGGCTGCCCGACGACGAAGACACTGTCACGAGTGGTGATACGGAGACGACGGGGCTTGACGTAGAGGCCGACTGCAATGCAGATGCCACAGCCTTTCGCCTCCGTGGGTCCTGTGGCCGGGAGACGTCCTCGTTGACCAGCTCGTCCTTGGTGGGCGTGCCCGGAGACCGTGACACACCTACCATGGTGCCTCTTGCTGAGGTTGCCACGCCCGCAGTGCCAGGCGGCGAGTCTCCAATGCCTGGAGGTGGTGGTGTGGCACCGGCACCTTCAGCATCAGATTCAGTAGCCACGTCGTCGTCCGCAAAGTGACGCACAATCGGGTCCTCAGTGAGAGTCTTCTTAGCCCCCAGAGGGCTCTGCATGTGTTGAGGTGACCCAACTGCTGCGATGGCTGAAGTGACCAGAGGCCCTGATGAGGACAGCAGCGTGCCCAGGACATCACTCATGATGGAACTAGTTGAAGATGATGCCTGCTGCGGCATTGGTGCTTTAACCTTATTGAGCAACTCTTGCAGGCTCGATGGTAAGCTGCAGCCACCCGAGGATGTTCCAGTGCCACTGAGAAAGGACAGACCAGTGTCGGTGGGCAATGAGCTGTCCAGGAAGGGAATGCCAGAAGCTTCGACAGGCTGTGCCTCGCTCGGAGTCGCAGGCTGTGGAGGGGTGGACGATGATGCTTTGCCCATCGACAACTGAATAGCCTGCAAGCGCTGAAGCTCAATTTGCCGCTTCTGCTCTTCCACCTGCACGAAGAAAAATGTGAACGTCACAAACTTGAGATGACACGAATGCATCATATTCGAGTAGTGATAGTGGCAATGCTGTCTTTGAGAACAAGGTTCTAACCATGCCGACTATAAATGTCAATACTCACTGCAAACGAACACCAAGCCACTTTCAGAAGACAGTTTGCAGACTACAGTAGAACATCGTTGATGTTTTTGAAAAAAAAACACACATACAATCCTGGAAGATACATGATCCGAATCACGTAAAAATTGAGACGGACAGGCCCACATTGATGTGCAAGGGCAAAAAACATTTATAGAGGGACTCTGTTTCTTTCAACTTCTGGCATCTTTCTGGCAGCCAGAGGTCAGCCATCTAGCTCTGGTCCTGGCAGGAAAGAATGATCATATGCATTTGAGATACAATCACGCACGTTTACAAGTTCCCGCTTAACTCCTCCAGTCTGCGAACAAAACTGCCACTCCACTAATGGCTTAACAAGCTTAACTGTGTGCAGTGTAACTCTGTGCAGTGTCTGGCAGACAAGAGCTTGGAAGAAAAAGGAGACTTAGAAAGAAAGGAAGTAGTCTTTTTTCCTTCCAAGTATTCGCTCTTTGCCAGATGTCAAACTAACTAGCCCAACAACTCGCTATTCTGTGTAGTAAACATAACGATTGCGGTAAAACAGAATATGCGAAATTTCGAGAAAATGATAAGCAGAAACTGGCTTATAGGCAAATGCCTACTTTCTTCCTAGAATTTCTATAGTACCAGTTTGACATAAGAGCATAAACTAAAGGATAAGACGGGCTTTTGTAGTGTTTTTATAGTGCCTAGAAATGCCTACCTATTTTTGGTGTTCCTATCTAAATGTCTATAAGTGCCTATCAACACCTATTTTTCAATCAGCGTGTTACAATTGGCTTTGAGATATTGAAATGGCGCCCTCTTAAGGGTGTCGTCACCAAGGGGACTCTGCTTTCAGACGTGTTGCAGCAGCTGCTGCTCCTATGCGCTAATCGTCTGCTTTAGGCGAAAGCATTGTGGAACGAACAGCTTCGAGAGGTTCCACTAACACCAGCAATGAATGTTTTCAAGTATTTCAGTTGTAGCCCAATAGACAGGGCCAATAAATTTTCCGGATGGCCGGCGAGCCCGCTGATACCACTGACCGCATGGTTTGTTGACACAACAGATGACACAACAGAAGCTGTTGGAGACGGTGCGTTCGCAGACTGCGATGAACTGAACACTGCCTGGAGACTGTTGGTGCCAGTGGAATCGCGTACAGTGACTACGCTTCTGTTGACGACGCCGTTGTCACCTCCGCGATGTTATCCGTCAATGACATCGTGGCTGAGTGCGCCGATCTGTGCGCCAGTGACGAGGAAGCTGAGGAGGAGGTGGAGCGGATACTGGGGCCAACGTCCTCATCGACGGTGCAGCACTGGATTTTTTGCGAAGATATGTGCGCACCAGTGACGATGGCGAGAGCCACATGGCACTACAGGTGCTTGAAAAACGCCTTGTGCTTGTCGGGCGTGAGAAGATGCGTCAGGAAATGCTGCATGATTTTTTGAAGTGAAAAAATTAAAATAAAACTATGTGCAGTTCACCACTACTCTAACTTCTCAATTTTTCGCGTTTCTCGGCTCCTACGTTTTTTTTTTTACTGTCCCGTGAAAAACGTATCAGCGGGGTTCTACTGTACCAGCATCTCTCATAATCATATGGTGGTTTTGCGACGTTAAACACCACATGTCAGTCATCATATTAATGCCGCACAGGCTCACTGCTTGGGTATTAAAGTATAACAAACAATTATTGCTGATTATATATGCAGCATACAGGGGCAAAGGTAAGCTGGGTAGAGTTTCTGTTCACGCATGTGGCACAACAAAAGCTCAAAGAGCTCCACTTAAAGCGTGTGCGCTGCCTGAGGTAAGAACCTTTAGAGAATGTGCCTTCAACACTGACTGCAGGTTTCGCTTATGAATTTATGTAAGTAATGCGCTAGGCACGTGCTTGTTTTTATCAGTGAACTACGTGTATACCGTATTTACTCGTGTAATCATCGCACTCGCACAATTCTCGCACCCCCCACATCGCCCAACAAAAATACGATTTCTTTTTTTCCTCGAGTAATCGCACCCCCGAAAACTGCTGCAATAATGTCGTCTGCTCTTTCCAGCCACTGATGATGATAGCGCACGTCATCTGGTGCCATCTCTTAAGCATCAAGCGTACTATTGCACAGAGATTCAATCCAACTCAAGCGAAGCCGAAGTGGCCAGTGCGTGTTGCGGCGTGTTTTGTATGTTGCATCGGTAACCTTGTTAAGTTATGAGGCGATACTGAAGCTATACGGCTGCTTTCAAGTTGCAAGTGATAGACAATGCACTAAAGAACGGCAACAGGGCCGCCGGTAGGCCCTTGGGATTGATGGTAAACTTTATTTTTTAAGGAAACTGCAGACAATTCTGTTAAATAGCCATCAGCCCAATACTGACATACCACGCTTACCTTTTGAGGGCTCCTGTTGAGCGACGAACGCTACCGCTACGCCCGCAACGTCCGCAAGCTTTGCGTAAGGTATTCTAATTCTCGACTATTTGCTTCCACTTTTTGTGTCTCAATTTAATCTTGTCTTGTGTTGAACCTCTGCTTTTATTGTTGAGGTAAGTTTTAATTAGTACTTCTTAAAGCTTGCTGTTAGTTGTTTGTGTGAAAATCCCGATTTGCGGCCACTTCGTTTTCTTTTTCGCTCTGTACGTTTTCGTAGAAAGTTTTCCCCGCGTAATTCTCGCACCCCCCAACTTTTCATCGGTTTTCCGGCAAAAAAAGTGCGAGGATTATGCGAGTAAATACGGTATGTACATACACCAATCAAATAAAGCCGTGGACTCCTGTGCCATTGAGCTGCACTCACGAGGCGATTTGGAAGCCGCCTCTTCGGCTCCCTAGGGGCTTTCTTGGTAGGTTTTGCGACGGCACATGGCGCAAGTCGCTTATTCTTGTAGCCTCTGCGCAATATATTACTCAAGTACTGTTGGGGCACTCAAACGCGGTTATACCAGAAGTCACTGTCAGTGAAGTGCTTGCTGCACACGGTTGGTGAAGGCGTGGGGCGCTTTCCCGTCTTCAGGTCCTTAGGGTAGCTGTAAAAGCTCACGACCTTTTCAAGGGCAATTGTACAGAGGCATAGAGCCCCGTCGTGCTTCACTGTTGCGCAGCATTTGCCCCGTAGAGACAAGACTCTGCAGTGTTAAGAAAAATTGCTGTGCTTTTAAAATATACGTTAAAAGCGGAGACTTATGGTAGTTTGCACAGCTTTGGCAGCCACCACGCACAAAATAACCAACTGAATTGCTCCTTTATCAAGTTATACCACGACTGTGGTTTCTATATGGCGCAGGGCCATGAAATGAAAGTGCACAAATCCCCATGTTGACGTTATACACGCAAGATTCACAGCACCGCCACCGGTCGCACACCAGACAGACGTGAGCACTATATAAGTCCAAGTTTTGTTTTCATGTGCGGTTTGAAACCCTCATTCATGTAGAAAGGTAACATTGACCTTTCCAAACACTATGAGGTTCAACGAAGTCCTTTAGTTCTACCAACTTCCGAAAAACAGCCGCTAACTGCAGTGAAATGGGACTCTGTGGCCACCCCACGACATGTAGCGAGCAGTTGGAGAACAAAAGACGCTGTTTCTGCAGTCTTAAATAGAAGCATGTCTTGGCGCCTGCAGGAGAATGAGAAGGGAGAATTAAAGATGGAATTTTTATTTATTTATTTATTTAAGTACACCGCAGACCTTCTCCGTCCAAGCAGGAGTGGTACATAGGATATACAAACAATGATGTCACGTACAGAAAGGCACCCACACAATCCAAGAAAAGAGAAAAAAACTATTGAATTCCAAGTAGCCAAAACAACAGTGTCATAATGCAACGTTCAGAATCATGCTAAAAGGACAAACCAGTCAAAGGGAAAGAAACTGCTCACAATAATCCCTATTCGTACATTTGCGTCTATTGTTTCAGACACTTTATAGTTTTAATCTTTCAATAAAGGATTCTACAGTGTACAGTTCACAGCTAGTAATGGAAGTTGATTCCAATATGCGATTGATGACGGAAACAAAACAGAGTTTTTGTGAATGTTGTCGTGACTTGTGGGCAGTCGTATTGTCTTATTGTGGTTAGTCTCGTGGAATGCCTGAAAGGTTCAAGAAGATAGGTCTGTGATCTGGATATTGTATATTTCCAGGATAAAGAAGATACAGGAATTTAAGTTTAGAATTGTGCTCCGTTTGGAAAGGCAATGAAGTTCGGCTCTTTTACGCAGATTAGTAACACTGGTATACCTGGAGTAATCGGGAAACACAAATCAAACTGCTAAGTTTTGCACTCGCTCAATTTTACTAATGAGAATTTATGATGTGACTCCAAATTATATTGGCGTATTCTAGTGCTGGTCTAATCAGGGTCTATAGGCGGTTAGCTTTACTGCAGGGGGAGGTGTTACGGAGTTTCTCTTTAGGAAGCCCAATTTACCTTGCGCTTTCGAACAAATAGCAGTTATATGTGGATCACAATTAAGGTTGGATGTTAATGTAACTCCCAAATATTTAACTTGATTGCTTTTAGTAATTTCTAAATTGTCTATTGTATAAGCAAATTTGAGTGGTTTTTTCTTATTCGTGAAAGTTATGGCTACGGTTTTCCGCGCGTTCAATGTCATTCCCCACTGGGAACACCAGGCTTGAATTTTTGTTAATGAGTGATTAAGGTTAATCTGGTCCTCAGTTCGATTTACCCTTGTGTACACAACGCAGTCATCTGCGAAAAGCCTTGTTTGAACGGGCGAGTCAATGACCATAGGAATGTCGTTGATGTAGATAAGAAACAAAATTGGTGCTAAGACTGATCCTTGTGGTACGCCCGGAAGGACGTTCAGGCGGTTTGACGTGTGGTTGTTCACAGCGACAAACTGCTTGCGGTTG